ACTATTCATAGAAGCAAACACTTGGAACAGCCCCAAATGCCCATGAATGCTAGACTGGATAAAGAAAATGTGGCACATATACACCATGGAATTCTACGTAGCCAAAAAAAGAATGAGTTCATGTCCTTTGCAGGGATATGGATGAAGCTGGAAACCATCATTCTCAGCAAACTAACACAGGAACAGAAAACCAAACACTGTGTGTTCTCACTCATAAGTGGGAGTTGAACAATGAGAACATATGGGCACAGGGAGGGGAACATCACACACCAGGGCCTGTTGGGGGGTGAGGGGCAAGGGGAGGGATAGCATTAGGAGAAATACCTAATGTAGATGATGGGTTGATGGGTAAAGCAAACCACCATGGCACCTGTATACCTATGCAGCAAACCTGCACATTCTGCACATGTATCCCAGAACCTAAAGTACATATATATATATTAAAAAAATCTCCCATCACAATGTTGTTCATTATTGTAAGGACTAATACCTCCACTCTTCTCACCCCTCTCTCCCAATGTGACATTAAGATCTGTTCAGCCTGAGTTATCTTTGATGTCAGGTGTTTCCCTTGACCCAACAGGCAACATCATAAAGTTGGTGTGATCATTTCCTACATATGTGTACCAAAACTTCCAGAGCTGAATGTTTGTACCATTGTTTCAGGGGTCTCTTCCTTGCTAATTCATTAGATTTACATATTATGTAGTATATATAATTAATGGGTGCATTTTTCCATCCAAGGGCACTTTTTAAAAATTATAATTTTATAAAATCTCATTTATATAAGCTAGAGAGAAATGTTAATGGTTAGAATTTTTAGAGCTGTATCAAATAAGGGGAAGACTTGTATTGGCAATATCAGTTATTCATTGTCTTAAACTGTATCATGAAGCTCCTCATACCTGTGTCTCTCAGCTTTAGGATGATAAAGGAGTTTTAGAAATTCTGCTCATGATGGCATTTGCACATTGTCTGAAAGGATTCTAAATTAGGCATTGCAGGTTCAACATTAACATTGGTTGAATAGATGAAAATTGTTGGTAGAAGGAACACCATGTCCTTTAGAGTCCAACCACAGTACATTAAAATGGACAGATGAGCAGTCGAGATGACCTCTGAGACAAGATTGAAAAGGAACACGTCTACATAAATAAATGAGAAGGAAATGAAAATAGCAAGGCCCTTCTATTTAAAATAACTAAATGAAGTACCAAAATGATTAAGTGAAAAGCGACTTTAATACCAAGGAATCTCTTTAGAATGAATGGAATTGTTGAGATAGAGTGAACTGATTAGTTATCAAGAAAGACAGACACTGGGATCTTGGTCACATTGCTTTCCAATACATCCAGTATTTATTATAGGAAATTTGAAATGTTCAGATCATAAGGCATCTTCAAGTAGCAAACAACCATTACTAAAATAGAGAGGTCAGATCTTTCAACTGTAGGTGAAAAGAACCAAAATGAAGTAAATCAGAAGCTTTAGATTTAAATGTGAATGCTGGAATGAAACTGATTTAAATGTGAATGTTGGAATGAGATTAAGAAGTTCTTATACTATACATAGTAAAATTTGTGAAATGAGGATATTTTAAAAATAAAAATAATACTTGGGATATATCTGAAAATTTAAAAATCTTCCCATTAATTTGATATGCAAAATGGGAAACTTGACAATGATTGTGTTAACAGCAATGAATTAATGTTACAATATTCAACAGCTGAGGATATAGTTTTAAATATATTAAGTTTAATTTTTTTTTTCAGTTTTTTAAAAAAACAAACCTTCAAGAGAATGACAAGAGAAGACAGAGATAAGAGAAATTATTTTCAAAAGACACATGTGATAAAGGATTATTAGCCATAATATACAAAGAAATTTTAACTCTCAACAATAAGAAAACAACCCAGTTAAAAAATGGGCCAAAGATCTGAACAGACACCTCACCAAAGAAGATACAAAGAAAGTAAGCATACGAAGAGATGTTCAACATCATTAGGGAACTGCTAATTAAAATCAGAAGTATACACCTATTAGATTGACCAAATTCTAAAACACTGACATCAAATGCTGGAGAGGATATGGAGCAACAGGACACTTATTTGTTGCTGGTGGAAATGCAAAATGATACAATTACCTTGAAAGACAGTGCAGCAGTTTCTACAAAAGTAAATGTATTTTTACCCTATGATCCAGCAATGACACTCCTTGATATCAGGTTGGGGCAAAATTAGTTAAATCAAAAAGTAATGGCAAAACCGCAATTACTTTTGCACCCACCTAAAATATTTACCCAAATGAGTTGAAAATTTATGTCCACACAAAAACCTACACTGGATGTTTACATCAGCTTTATTCATAATTTTCAAAACAAGGAAACAACAAAAATGTCCTCCAATAGGTGAATACACCAATTAAATGTGGTACATCCAGGCAGTGGAATATTACTCAACACTAAAACAAAATGAACTATCAAGCCATGAAAAGCCATGAAGGAGACTTAAATGCATATTACTGAGTGAAAGAGGCCAACCTGAAAAGGCTACACACTGTATGATTTCAACGATATGACATTTCGGAAAAGGTAAAACTATGGAGCCAGGGAAAAGATGAGAGTGAGGTGCAGGGGAGGGATGAATGGGCAGAGCACAGAGGAGTTTTAGGGCAGTGAAACTATTCTGTATGATATCACAGTGATGGAAACATGTCATTTATGCATTTGTCAAAGCCCATAGAATGCACACCACCAAGAATGTACCCTAATGTAAACTGTGGACTTCAGGTGATGATGGGTTAATGTAGGTTCATTGATAGTAACAAATATACCATTCTGGTGGAGGATGCCCATTTTGTGTGTGTGTGTGTGTGTGTGTGTGTGTGTGTGTGTGTGTGTGTGTAGGCAGATATATAAAAACTGTACTTTCCACTCAATTTTTGGGTGACCTAAATTGCTCTCAAATAAATTTTACTAAATAAATAAATGACACACTGTATGATTCCATTAGATAAAGTTCTAGAATAGGCAAAATTAGTTAGTGGTCATATAAGCCATGACGATGGTTTCCTCTGTTGGAGGAATGACTGGAAGGTCACATGAGCAGGACTTCTGGGGGCATTGGTAATCTACTGCTTGATCTTATTGGAAGTATACACTTTGTGAAAATTCATCGAGATATACACTTACTTGTGACCTCTTTGTATGTATATCTCAATGTCTTAGTATAAAGTATTTTAAAAGTAAAAAACACCCTGCCCAACTTTACATTTAAATTTAATTTCTTAGGAAGCATTTGTTTTCTTAAGAAGCAAGTAATCCGTGTTCATTTTTCTTCCAATAATTTTGGAAGAAATTAATGAAGTATTGATGGATTAGTTAGGATTCAACCAAGGGAAAAGTAAACATTCTAAGTATTTAAAATGATAAACTTTAATACAAGGAAATGATTACAAAGATGAAAGAACTGAGAAGCTAAATTGGGAACGGTGAATCAAATTAAAGATGAGCAGTCTCAGGAAGCCAAAGGCACTATCACTCATGATTCTCAAGGGATAAAAGGGAAGAGGTGGTGTTAATGAGGTTCAGGGTTCAGGGTCACTGGAAGAAGCTGGAGGTAAGGTGTAGGAGTGGAGGGGAGGCTGTGGCTGGAAAATACAGCCCATAGGGTCAGTTCCTGTGGAATGAACAGAGGTGGGGCAGGGCAAGGAATGGCCCTGAAGGTAACAGGCACAGATGGGCACACGTGGAAAATAAAGGATTCAGAAAATAAGTTTTTCATTTTCATTTTCTTCTTCTACAGTAACTGTTACACTAGGCAAACTGATTTACTGGTATTTTTGATGGGCACCAAGTTTAGCTTCTGGGAACTGCGTTCAACACACATCTTGTAAATAAATAGAATTACCATTTTAGTTCTACATCCAATCTCCATAAACCAAATTTATACACGCGTAAGTTTATGAAAGCATTATTTGCCATCATTTTGAAGCTAATCAAAAGTATTAAGGAAGCATCTTTGCCTTTCAGATTAGATTTAGACAGTGGCCAATGCTCTGTCAGCTGCATTATTTTATTGAAATTGTAAACATAGGTATATGCTGGTGTTCTGAAGATCACCTTTCTTCAAAGTACATAATAAAGCCACACTTTGAAAACTAGACTTAGGAGGAGGTAGAAAGCCACACAATATCCTCAATATGACCACCACTCACTTTCTCCATTCCCCTCTATTCTGCTGAAAAATGGCGACGGCATATATCAGACTAATATTAAAGCACCAATTTTAGGCTCTTCTGTTTTCTAACATGGAAAGGTGATGACATATGATGATGTAAAATATATTTATTCATCCATTTTATGGCCAGACAAAACAAAGCTTAATGTGTGTGTGTGTGTGTTGGGGGGGGTGCTTAATTGTACATAGCACTTTAAAAATTTAGCACACCTGCCTTCAACCATGCCCTACTTTTAATTCTAAGTAAAATCTCCCAATAAGCAGCATCTAAAATGTTATCCCTATCTCAAACACAGATTTGTTAGTGATTAAACCATTATTATCACCATCAAATTTTCATTCAGTTTATGCCATCAAAAATTTTGTCTCATTCTGGTTTATTACTCTGATATTAAGTATATTTTATATTTTACAAATCATATAACCTTTAGAATAGAATGAAGCATTTTGGCATTTGCTTAATAGAAATCAGGAAGTGACGGTCAAGACAACTTCCATGTTATAGAGCTCACAGTTCAGATGGTTTCTGATAATAATACTAACAATAAATAAACAAAAAATAAAGAGAGTAAGTCTTTCATTGTCTGGAACCTCACTAAAGGTGCGAAACTGAAAGGCATTGATAATATTTATTTAGCCATCTTGCTCCACCTCAGCATTGATAATATTTAAACCCATTTTCTTTTCAGGCAAAGGAGAGGATCACTTTAAAGAGAAACAGTTCAATATTCATCTTAAGTTCTTTGTCTTAAACACACTCACCTAAAATTCAATGAAGGGACAGCATGAACTTTTCAAAACCATCTATATTCTTTGAAATGGCAGTTGATTATGGCGCTTAAAGACTTCCCAAGCACTTCATCCAAGGATTGGTAAATCCTATTTATCTGCAATGAGAAAGTAGACTTTTATTTAGCTAAGCAATTCACACTTCTATATTTATTACACAAACAGGAAGCCAGAATTGGCAGATCTAGAACATATGATATTTTATAAATCCCCATATCCTCTATTAATAACATATGCAATTTGGAACTTTGCTTTTCATTTGGTATAAGAAATATTTATAAAAATAGACATTTATGGTAGAAGTCATTTCACTGATGAGGACAGTGAGTCCCAGAGGGATGAAGTGATCATCCAAGATTTAAAAGCTGGTTAAAGATAGAGAGTGACCTGGAACCTCGGGTTCCTGATATAGCTCTATGGATTTAGTTGATTGTAAAACCAGAAATGGGAAAACATGGAATCTTCTTTGTTTTCCAAGCAGATAGTTTTCTGGAATATTTTATTGCCACAATTTTTACTAAAGCCAAGTAAAGTAGTGCTAAGATCAGAACCCTTGGACTAACATTTCCTCTGATGGATTGAGCTTGAGCAGTCTTAAGTAGATACCCCGTAAGAGTGGACTACAACAAGGTGGACTACAAAGGCAACCTAATGTTACTTAATAATCCATATGATTATGTTGTATAGTAATAACATATAAATTGTAAATATTTCACAAGATTGGCTGTTGATTTTTCTTAACTAAGCTGAATGATTTTATATGCTTTTGCCTTCTGAGAAAATTTCTAAATGAGAACTGAAAGACACAGCTCTAGACTGCCCTCCCCAATGCCCAAGATCCCCAACCCTATGCCTGGGAGTGACCCAGGCACCCCACTCATCATCTCCCCTCAGCCAGTCCTCCCCAGTGTTCTCTTCCTCCTCACCCTTTCCTCCTTGCTTCTCCCTGTGAAGGAACAGGCTGGGTGTTACTATCCCAGGTGCCAGATGGCTTGAAGCAGCAAAACTTTGAAGCTTAGGGAATCTCATGTTAAGATGAAGGAAAAGTGTGGGGAGGAGGGACGCAGTAAAGTAAAAGGGACAAGGCATCTGGTGGCAATGGGGATGGAAAGGAAAGGGATGGAAGGAACCCAGCTCTGCACCTTTGCTGAGTGATGGGTGCCTTCTGCTTCTGACTCCCACCCCATGCTTTCCTCTCCCAACCCAGGTTATCTAAAATGAACACAATAATTATTTTAGCTTTCATGACTGGGTTCAGGCTTCCTATGATTTGAGGTACATAAAGAAAATTCTATAACAAAATCTTCCCCTTCCTCTTATCTAAGTTATCAGGCATGTTCATTATTACGTGAGGTTTATTTATGATATGGTTTTGCTGTGTCCCCACCCAAATCTCATCTTGACTTGTAGTTCTCATAATCCCCACATATCATGGGAGGGGCCCAATAGGAGATAATTGACTCATGGAGGCTATTATCCCCATGCTGTTCTTGTGACAGTATAGGGGCTTTTCCCTCTTTGCTCGGCAATTCTCTCTCTTGCTGCCACATGAAGAAGGACGTGTTTGCTTCCACTTCCACCATGATTGTAAGTTTCCTGAGGCCTCACCAGCCATCTGGAACTGAGTCAGTTATACTTCTTTCCTTTATAAATTACCCAGTCATGGGCAGTTCTTTATAGTAGTGTGAGAATGACCTAATACAATTTAATATGATATAAAGAGACTTTCACTACACAATTAACCACTGTTCTGTGACATTTGGACCCAACAGTCTTTCCCCGTGCTATGATTCTAGGCACACACATCTGTTTGACATTCTTTGAATTAAATGTATTATTACAACAGTAGTACTTTCAGGTATTTTTTGTTTCTTAAAGTACATGCTATTATTTCTTTTAAAATTGGAGTTGCAGTAGATTAGACCTATGTATCTGAGAATAAGTTATACATTAAAAATATTTCTCCTCATGAACACAGCTCTCTAAGCCATAGTACCTGGAAAGAAATGAAAATCGCATACAATCTAATGTATTATATTTTCACCTTAGGCTGTATCTATGTATATAATAAAGTGAGATAAACTTATATCCAGCTCTATCTGGTGATGTAGAATCACTCAAGAAATCACCTAGTATTGTTCTAGGGACCTCTTAGGATTTGGCTGCTGGTTGTTGCTCCTGTACCTGACAATTGTGGGAAGGATGACTTGCATATTTCTTTTTTCTTTGTGCAGGTCCAATGGGTTACTCCAGACTGCAGTAGATTTGGAGGGAGCCTAAACAATGCTCAGATAGAGACACTGTGTTAAAGTACCACATGGGTGGTCCAGGTTGACATCTTGACCAGGATCTATGATTCATAAAAGTTGCACCTTGGGTGGTCTCTGGATCACAAGCCAGCTTTAGATTCTGCTGTTCCTCTTCTACCAAGAAGTGGCCCCATTTCACCCCATATACCACAGATAGTGATTAAAAGAAGTTAGCTGTCTAATCTGGAGGCAGATCCATCCCTACCATTCTTGGCTTCTATCCTGCATGGCAACTCCAGAGTATGCAGAGTTAAATGCCCTCAATTCTTTCTACTCTTTCTTTCACCTGAGGGTGGCAGCTTCCCAAGCAGCTAGTGAATTAAAGGCATCAATCCTACTCTACTCTTCTGCAGCCTACTGGACACTTGCAAAGCAAAATTGTCACATGAACATTGGGTGGGAATAAAAATGATACCTTTCTCCATTCTCTCTCTCTTTGAGACAAGGTCTTGCTCTCTCACCTATACTGAGTGCAGTGGCATGATTGTGGCTCACTGCAGCCTCAAACTCCTCAGGCTCAAGCAATCTTCCCATCTCAGCCTCCTGAGTAGCTGGGACTGCAGGTGCTCAGCACCACACTCAGTTAATTTTTGTATTTTTTGGAGATGAGATTTTGCTATGTTGCCCAGGCTGGTCTCAAACATCTGAGCTCAAACAATCCACCCGCCTCAGCCTCCCAACGTGGTGGGATTACAGGCATGAACCACCGTGCCTGGCCCCTTCTCTCTTTAAATTCTTATTTAAATTACAGGTCAGCTAACTTAAATTCTAGGATGGCTGACTTGTGGTTAGAAATTAAATTTTAGTGTCATGGTATAAAATAAAAATATTGTATTCTTTACTAAGCTCCCGTAAAAGCTTTCAGCCAGGGTCTGGACTGGAGTTAGGAGCCAGTGTCTTACCACAGAGTACCATAAAGAAAGAAGTATTTCATTTATTTTGGGTGCTGCATTGTAGGCATATAGGTTGGATGGAAGTTGCAGGAGTCACATTTTTGCTTAATAAGAGGACCCCCTCAAATTGGAGGACGCAAAAACAGAATGGGCCACCTAAAAAGGTAGTGATCTCCATATCAATGATATCAATTTAAATAGAGGCTCAATAATCATTTGTAGTGGTGGGATTTGGTAAAGCATACGGGTTTATCACACACTTATTATACACAAGTTGGGATATGTAGTCCTCTCAACCCAGATTCTGTGGGACCTAGCCAAGTATTAGACTGGAGAAGAGTTAACCTTTGTGTTATTATTCCTATTTATGGTTGGACTGATGTTCCTACCATAAATAGCACTCTGTCCTCACTCTCTATTGTTTATTTTGATATATTCCCCTGTACTGCCACTACCTGATTATTATTTATTCATTGTCTCTTCACACCAGAATATAGCTCCACAAAGGCAGCAACTTTTTTCATTGTTGTGCACCTGACGCTTAGAATGATGGCTGGCACACAGTGCGCCTGCAGTAATATTTATTGCATGAACAAATAAATGTATGAATGAACGTATATTTTTGGTTGTCACCAAATTTAAATCTAAGAAGTTTGTATTTTTCTTTCGCACAAAGATTTGCAAGTCAGATTAAAGCTTCTAGATGATGATTTTATTTCTACACAGAATAAACAAGATAGGGTGAAATATATGATTAACCAGCAAGAATGTAGTAAAAGAAAAATCCTATTACACTTTCTTATTTTAAAATTTGTCTTCTTTTTCTTATAAATATTTGGTTCAATTTCTTTTCTCTTACCCCTGTGAACTTGCACCATATTAAAAATAATTTCATCACAATCTGAAGAATTCATGATTATTTTATTCACACTAAAAATATAAGGAATCCAAGCAGAAATTTTAGCTACGTTCATTATTATTCAAGAATGGGTAGCCTAAATATTAAAAGGAGGAATAAAAAGGTGCTCTCCAGGACTTCTTTGGAGGGTGTGACTTTTGTCCAGTGGTTCTCAATCAGGGTGATTTTGCCCCTAGGGGATACATGACAATGTCTGGAGACATTTTTGGTTGTGCAGGGTGGGTACATGCAACTGGCATCTAGTAGGTACAGGTCAGGATGCCGCTGAACATCTGGAAATTCACAGGACTACCACCCCCCAACCCCCAGTCAAATAATGAACAGTCCGAAATGTTGATTGTACCCGGGTTGAGATACCCTGGTAGGTGGTCCGAGTTCCTTTGAGTCCTAATACTATTCTGTAATTTTACCACAGGTCCCATCCAGACCTCTGAAGTTGAACAAGGTAAGTCTAAATTCCCTTTTGAAGCTTCCTGCAACTCTATATACCATGTGAATTCCTTCCTGCACCTCCCAGCTGTGCCCTTAGACCCTCTCTGTATTCCAGTCCTGAGTGCTGCCACATCACTCTTGGGACGTCTTTCATTGCAGCACCTGTTATCATTTTAAATTACCGTGAATTTTCTTATCCCTTTATAAGAATATGTGCAACTCTGGGCAGAGACTTATTGCTTGTTTCTTCATCATCTCTAGCACATAATTTTTAATGATGAATAGCCATCATCACTAAATGTTTGTTTGAATAAATGATTGATGGTGGAACAGTTAGCAAACACGAAGCTCATGTTTTCACATCTGGTTCCTGTACAGAGTTGCAGTATAAACTTACGCAAGTAATTTCACCAGATTATTAGTTATCGGCCTGAGAACGTCAAAGTGGCTTAGAAAGTTGTAGTAAAATGGATTTGGAATCATGGCCCTTGGACTAAACCCAGAATCACCCCAGACGCAAGGATATTAAGTCAGAGTCAGGGAGA